TCTTTTTAAAGCCATATTTTTCAGCAGTGTTCACAGTTTATGCAGACTCCTCCAAATGGGAAATCCTCTATATAGCACTCATCTGTTATTTCATCCTTCTAGCCTTTTAAAAAAATTTGAATTTTTTTTGCTCCATTGGAATTTGAACACATGGCCTCTCATTTGCTAGGCAGGAATTCTAGTGCTAAGTACATCTGGATCACAAGCTGCCTATTCTAGCTTTCCCATTATAGCTAGGATGACAGATATGCACCACCTTGCCTTCTTCTTTCTGTTTGGTTTGGCCTTGAACTGTGTGATCTTTTCTATGTCAGCTCCCCAAGACGTAGGATTACAGGCATGAATCACTGGCACCTAACTTTATCCAACGTGTGTGTGTGTGTGTGTGTGTGTGTGTGCCCAAGACGTAGGATTACAGGCATGAATCACTGGCACCTAACTTTATCCAACGTGTGTGTGTGTGTGTGTGTGTGTGTGTGCCCAAGACGTAGGATTACAGGCATGAATCACTGGCACCTAACTTTATCCAACGTGTGTGTGTGTGTGTGTGTGTGTGTGTGTGTGTGTGTGTGTGTGTGTGTGTGTGTGTCTGAGCTCATCATGGGGTTTTAGCTCAGGGCCTAGACACTGTTCCTGAGTGTCTTGCTGAGGCTAATGCTCTAACCTGAGCCACAGCTCCATTTCTGGCTTTTTGGTGTTTAATTGAAGATAAGAGTCTTGTGGACTTTCCTGCCCAGACCCTCAGATCTCAGTCTCAGTAGCTAGCATTATAGACATGAGTAACCTGTGTATGGCCCAACAGTTTTTAAGTTGTTAATATTTTGCTTGGTATTACTCTAATCTTTTGAGTTCATTATATATAATTTTGTGATAACACAGAATCTGAACATTTGTCCTATCATGCGTTAGAGATACAGAATGAGCAACTAAGTCATTCTGTTTTGAGAATGAGACAGATGTATGAATAAGAAGTCTTCAGTGTCATTTTATTATTTTAGGCTAAGAAAATGATCTTAACTCTTTCCACATTGAAAAGTACCTTTTATCTTTTGTAATTTAAATTTTATTGTAAAGGTGATGTACAAAGGGGTTACGTTTACATAAAAGTAAGGTAAAGTTGTAAAGTTCATTTCCAACATGGTGAGTAGTGAGTATCAGTGTTGAATTGGTTTACCCTTTGTCCCACCAATTCTGTGATTCTCCTTCACTGTACCAAATCAGACAAACTTATATACAAGACAGAGTGTACAGAAATGAAAAACAGTGACAATAGGGAATAAACCAAAGGAAAAAAAGGAAGAGAGAAAAAAGAATTAACTACAAAACCTCTTGCTTCCATTTCTTGTGGCCTTTTATGTCTTATAGAGGTAATAGAAGTTTAGTCAGAGGAAGAATGGAAATTTTTGAAGCTGTTAGAATATTTTGCTTCCTACATGTAGCTTCCTCACAGGTAGGACTCTGCTGAAAGGAATAAAATTGGACTGTTTTTACTGGTCTACCCATACTGGAATAAGTTCTGAAGTCAAAGTATTTATATTTGTGTATAGATCATGGGCAGGCAGTCACACTGGACATGCACAAAGATCAAAAACATTTAAGTCATTCATGTGAAGTCCATATTTCAAATACCTTAATTATCTTAGTTATCTTAATAATCTTAGATTTCAACTTGTATTTCGGTGTCAAATTGTTCATCTAAAAGTCTCTTACCTAGGATAAAGAGATTAGGTTTTAATTCCTCACACTACATAAACAAAACAACTTGGTTGTCCACCTCTTAACTCCTGGGCCAAAAATTGACCTAGCCTTATCATAATTACCTTTTTATCAAAAGGACTTTTGCTTGGATTGCCAGGATATTATAAGTTTCCTATTCATTTGTTACCTAAACATCAAAGAACAAATGTACTTGCCTAAAGTGTAAGTGCTTTTTTTGTAATTTTAATTTTACAATAATTCTATAATTCCTTTAAATTAGGTCAATTTTTAACTGATAGCTAACATAACCTCTAACATAGTCTTCTACAAAGGATTCTAAAACATTGTGCTTAAAATACTGTTTTTATTTTTCTCTGGATGCCATTTGCTTACTTCTACAATTCCTCAATGTCTCTAGTAAGAATCACTAGCAATAGTTTGTAATATTAGAAATACTCCTGGTGATGGAGTTATGACAGGTTCAGATGCTAGCTGATGCACAGCTAACACATTCTGAACCTGTACCTAGTCCAAGAAAATGTTTCCTGCCCAGGACACAGGGTCATATGATGAAACAAACTCTTGAAATTCAATTCCTTCCTCTGAGGAACACACTATATTTCATGACTTTGTGAAACAAGCTTGTATGTGTTTGCTTTCTCTGCTTTAGTCTGTGAATTAGTGAATTACAAAGTGTCTCCCATCTAAATAACTTTTCATAGTATCCGAGAAATTGGAATTTAAGAAATTTTATTGTGGGAAATATATTGCATTCTATTTTTATTTTAACATAAATGTTACATTATGAGCACCAAAGTCTTCTTCCACATGTAGAACTTTCGTTTATTCATCTAGGCTTGAGAATATTTAGTATTCATTAACATGTTTAAAACATGAAGAAATTAATATCAAATAAAATGCTTTGAAGTGGTTAAAGCAAAATCCCATGTAACCTTATGAAGTATTAGCATCATCTCCATCTTATCATCACCCTCTCCTTAAAGATGATAGTGTAATCATTTCAGGACCATCTAGAGGCTACTGGCAGAGTTAGTACTGGAACTCAGAGTTCCAGAGCTGCCTTTTGCTCAGTGACAGCAACTTTAGGTCAGATGGCTGGCTCTTTGGAGAATTAGAAATAGAATTCAATTGACCTTGGCATTTGGAGAAATGGTTGGTTAAATGTAGAATATTTTTTAAAGGGACAATTGTGGTATAATTAAAACATCAAATCAAAGAGAATCACTAGCAAATTTTGTCCTCTTTCTTTGGAAATAAACTTTACCTAAATATTTATTCACAATTCCACTATTGGGTACCTTAGAGTTGGTATATAGCAGGGAAGATTCTTAAAAGGATATCTTAAAATTATAGTTTTTGAAACATTAAATGTATTTTGCACAGAGTAGAACAATCACTTAGTAGTACACAAAAACTCATAACTTTATCTCTTTTAGATATACTTCAACTGGGATGGTTATTCCAGAAGGAACACTATAGTACCACTAAATCTTTCTTTTTTTTTTTTTTTGTCAGTCGTGGGGCTTGAACTCTGGGCCCGCACGCTGTCCATCAGCTCTTCAGCGCAAGGCAAGCTCTGTACCTTTTGAGCCACTGTTCCACTTCCAGTTTTCTGATTATTTGGAGATAAGAGTCTCACATGACTTTCCTGCCTGGCCTGGCTTTGAACCGAGATCCTCAGGTCTCAGCCTCCTGAGTAGCTAGGATTACAGGCGTGAGCCACCAGCGTCCAGCACCCCTAAAATCTTTTATGGAATTAATTTTCAGGGAGAATCTAACAATTTATCAGAAGAGCCACTTATTATTAGATCCACCTATCTACTTATTTTATATAAGACATTTACATGATGTAGTAATCTAATATCTATTCATATATGTGTGTTATGTTAATATATTCATATGTATGTAATACATTCATATATTTGTGTGTATCCCATGTATTATATATTATAGATTTATATATTATATATATTTACATACACATATATATTTACTGATATATCTATAAGTGTGTGTGTGTATAAATCTGATTGGCAGAATGATAGACCCAATCAATATAGTCTGCTTTGGACCTGGTGAGTTCTAGCAGTAGTGCTAGATCTTTGCAAAACATATCTCTGTATATATAATAATAGCTATGTTTTGCTATTGTCATATTCTACTAATCTCATTGAATAGATAAATAGGTTTAGGGGAGTTCAGAAGAATACAGAAATTATTCAATTTATATGTCTGTGACTAATATCTGAGGATATATTTCTCCTTTGCTGAGTCTAAGTGTGGCTAAGAAAGATTGCTCTCATTTTGGAGTCATCATTGGTCACCGTTTGTGGTTACTCCACTTGTCCATCTTTGGGCTTTCTTTGGCAACATTCCTATTCTTTACCTTTGGTGTTTGTGTTTTTGTTTATTTTTTTTCTGGTGACAAGGCTGTTTTACTATTGTTATACTCTCCTGCTGATTTCACAAGAGTAAAGACAGCTTAAATTTATATTCTGTGGCAAATATCTTGAGGAAATGTTTTCCTGCTGAATGAAATCTTTGTCATGCTTACTTATATAATTTTAAATTAATGAAATTTATATGTAACCAATTAACTCTAACCTTGGATTTTAGAAAAATTGTTCATAAATGTATATGAGCATAGATTAAACATTTTGAATTCTTTGAAACCCAAAACTTGAAATAAAGAAGTGTACTTTTGCACAAAATATATGAGACAATAGTTACTTCAAGGATTACTCTTTTGTTCACACATTTATCAAAGTAATTTATTTTTATTTATTTTTTTATTGTGAAGATACTGTACAGAGGGGTTACAATTACATGGGCAAGATAATGAGTACATTTCTTATCAAGCATTGTAGCCTCCTCCTTTGTTTCCCCTTTCCATCCTTTCCCAGCCTCCCTCCGCTCCCCCACCCAATCCTCCCCGCTCCTCCTCAAAGTAATTTATTAAAAGCAGATTCCCCTGATTCAGTTGGAGTACTTGCTTTTACAAATGCAAATCATATAATACATCTAGCACAAATAGTCATTTCAGGTATAGCAGTTTATGCTTCAAGTGTCTTGAATTAAAATATTCAAAATCAGTGATTTAAAATGTAAAAATTAATAACACTATTGTTTACTAGAAATAATCTATAGGAAAAGTAGTCATAGACTATCAAGCAAATTTTTTCAATATTCAATGTATGATAATTATTTCAAATTAATTTGGTAGTGAATCTATTGTAATATATAAAATAATATTTAACTATATTGTCTTTTTTTATTACCAGGTTTTAATTACAACACGAACAGCTGCTGATAATTTTAGCACTCAGTATGTTTTAGATGGCAGTGGTCACATACTTTCTCAAAAACCTTCACATCTTGGTCAAGGTAAGAGAATAGCTTTATAGCGTTTTCACTTTTTCTGTTTTGTTTACTAAAAGGAAAAAAGTTACTTCTTAAATTTAAATGTATTGTTTGAAGCTTGGCCCTAATTAAATCTAATTAACTGCAACATAAATATTCAGCCTTTACCTATAAACTTCTCAAATACTTTGAGTTTTTCTCAAGAAAAACTAAAGGAGAGACTGTATAATTGTGGATCACTTACTCATATGGAAAAAAATTATGAGCTTTTATTATCTTATTGTCTCAAACATCAATGATTTGTACTACTGAAAATAAGCCATAGCATTAATATGTTGTTAAATATTCATCAATATTTAATATGATCAACATATAATTAAGTTTTAACCAAAATTTATAACTAAATATTATGGCATTCATATACTATGATTTATTTATGAAGAACTTCAAATATATGCGCAAATAGAGTGCTCAGTTTCAACAATTACCAACTTACTGATGAATTCTTAATACCTTTATTCACTTGCTGTGTTATTTTGAGGCAAATAAATCTTTGATTATTGTTTTTACTTATATTTTAACTGAATTTTTTCATATTTTATATACTGTGTAATTTTATTGATACTTTTTTAACATTTCTCTAAAGTTTACTTACTTGTAAAGGGAAGAGATCTCTTTAAGTTTCAATTCATATATTTTGTTTAATCTTTTTCTTACTCTTAATATCTTGTAACAGGATGATTAAAGTTAAAAGAGTATTATAGGTAGTCCTTTTTAGAGTCATATTCAAAATAATTCTTAGATCTAAAGAGGTTCTTGGAATATTATAAATTCATGTTTAATTTTATAATTCCTCATTATAACTTATCAAACTAGTGTTTTCCTTCCTTCCATCTTTCTTTCCTTTCTTCCTTTGTTCCTTCTTTCTTTCCCTCCCTTCTTCCCTCTGGTTGTAATGTCATATTATTGGGTTTTCTTTTGCTAAATAACATATTTGTTGAAATTTATTTCCTTTATATCTTAATTCTGATACCAAATTTTTCACTCATTCTAAATCATCAGCATAGTTACAGATTATTTTTTGTCCACCAGTAATCTGTTTTGTATTCACATAGAAAAAAGAGTCAATAGAAATGCCTCAGAAATATTTTTTCCCATTCTGATAATGAAAGTGAGCTCAAGTTGCTAGTTTGATATGTAATAGTATTATATATTTTAATTAAATATAATTTATTGTACTTTCAATTTGTGTTAAAGTTTAAGACAAAGAGAAGACTAATTTTTTAGAATGTGGTTCTTCTTCAGAAATATTCTGACTTGAGATCTTAGGAGTTCATATTAGGAAACCATTGGGAATTATTTGAGTGGCTATCCAGTAGAGTACTTTGAAGTCATCTAGTCATCTTATAAAACTTAAAAGTATTTATTTTTATCTTAGTAACAGGTCTAATGTGGATGGCAAGTGGCTCTGCATCACTCATACTTCTCATGCTTTTCTGTATTCATCTCCATGGGAACTATGAAATAACAATCCTTAAATATGGACTCGATCTGATCTTTGCCCTTTTGCTTGTTGAATTTTCATTTTCTGCTGACTTCAGTCTTCTACCTAAGGAAGTAGGCTTCTTCTTCTAAGGGAGTTTTACAGTCAAGTGAATACTATATTTGTTCCTTATTCTTAAGAAACAGCATACTTGAAAGGTCAATAGTTCCAAAACCAGTATTTGTCTTTCATAGCTCTTTTTTTTCCCCCACCTAATTATAGTCGATTGGTTAGGAAACAACATCAACAAAAACAACGTCTTAATTTCAAATTGCTCTAGGTGAACATATTATTAAAATCCGTACACTCTTTCAAAAGCCTTCTACATTTATATTGCTTAGTGCTGATAGTTTTTGAGTGATTAAATCACAGACTCACATTTCACCAGCTGTCATTAGCTTCCATTTAAATATTTTCTGTGTAAGATAAAACTGCAATTCAACCATCCTAATTTATACCTGTGCATTTAAGGTTCTTGTAGATTAATTACTGCTGTGGTGTGAACATCCTTGCTTAGCAGTTACTCTTCATATCATCTGGTAGGATGATATCTGTAGATAGCCCAAGGGCAGGGACAGAAACAACTTACAAAATTTTATTTTGGCATTGGAAAATTGTTACTTTAAGAAGCTTACTTTAAACTGTTTAAAAATTGTTTACTAGAAATTCTCTTCAGGTTTTTCTAGCTATATTTGTCTTATGAGTTAATTTAGCCATTAAAATGATTTGTGTGTTTAGCACTCACTTTAATTACTCATCTTTTATTTACATTCATTAAAAAAACAAGTATAAGCCGGGCCCTGGTGGCTCACGCCTGTAATCCTAGCTACTCAGGAGGCTGAGATATGAGGATCGCAGTTAAGCCAGCCCGGGCAAGAGAGACCGTGTGACTCCTATCTCCAATAAGCCACCAGAAAACCGGAAGTGGCGCGGTAGCTCAAGTGGTAGAGTGCTCGCCTTGAGCTGAAGAGCTGAGGGACAGCGCCCAAGCCCAGAGTTCAAGCCCCACGACCGACCAAAAAAAACAAGTATACCTGATATTTTTAAACCAGCAAAAAGTGTAGAATAAATTTGCAGCTTATAAATTCTTCTAATAGCACTGGCTTAATAATAATTTTAGTCATATTATTTTCTGCCATTACTCCTGTTTTCTGTACCTTTTTTTTTTTTTTGGGTCCGGTCGTGGGGCCTGAACTCTGGGCCTAGGCACTGTCCCTCAGCTCTTCAGCTCAAGGCTAGCACTCTACCACTTGAGCCACAGTGCCACTTCCGGCTTTTTTTTTCTTTATGCTTATGTGGTACTGA